TGTGAGGACCTTGGCTTTCCGGTTACTGTTAACTTGTGTATTAAGTTAATATTTAGGATTGGGCTTCAATTATGGCGCATGGAATTTCCATGAGGGGATGGATCCTGAAGGGACAGGAACCCACCCCAGCCCCTAGCAGGGATGGGGAATGCAGGGCGCTGCCAGGGCCTGTTCACCAGGCCGGCCTCACCTCCCTTCTTAGGTTAGAATCTGCAGGGAGGTGGCCAGGGGCTGTGGCAGGGGTGGGTGGGCCCTACCTCCCCCTTCGTCACCCAGCTTCCAGGCAGAGCCCACTGGGGTTGCCCTCTACTTCTAGGACAGTGTCCTCAAGGCACTGGTGGGTTTGTGTTGCTTTTGTATAATTAATACTTGCTCATCATAGAAACCTCTAGCTAGCACAGAGGTAAAAGCAAGGAACATCCAAATTTCATTACCCTAATTAAACTCTGTCAGCTTTGGGGCTCCCCTGGCTCTTCTGTGTGTCTGAGTGTGTTTCTCTGTCTTAGTGTTTTTGTGTCTGGGTGTGCATTTGTGTGAGTATGTGTGTTACTGTACGTGTGTATTTCAGGTGTGAATCTTGTGTGTCAGTCTAAGGGTATGCCCGTCTGGGTGTGCCTACATGTCTCTGAGTGTGTGTGTCTGCCTGTGTCTGTGAATATATATCTGTGCATCTGTGTGTGTGTCAGTTGTGCACACGTGTGTGTATCTGCATGCACCTTTTTCTAAGTGCATACCTGCCTGTGTGTGTGTTCATCTTATCTGTTCTGTTTGTATTCATGTTATCTGTGTGTATCTGTGTCTGTGCTGGGTCACTTTGCGTCCATGTGCGTGGGTGCTTGTGTGTATACATATGTACATTTTATATAGTGAAATTTTACTGGCGCATTTGGCTGTTGAGTAGATAGGCCATTGCTCTTCCTAATGTCAAAGTGACATTTGGGGAAATGGGAGGCAAAGTCTGTGTTGTCATCTAAATTTATGTCATCTGCTCCTCTGTTCTTCACTCTGAACCATGTTGACTGTCTCAGATCTCTTTGGTATTTCACAAGTAGGCTTTGATTCTACAACATTTTGGTTGACTTTGAAGTAAGTAGTCTTATTTGTGTATTTAGGAATCCCAAAAGCTTAGAAAGATCTGCAGTCCTCTCAGGCTGCTAATACACCTTCTCTCTTCTCTCCCTGCCCTGCACCTCCTTCAGCAGGCTCAGCCAGAAGTGGGGATGCCAGCCTTACAACCACAGCATTAGTTAGGTGTTTTCAAGCAGTAGTAATGAGGTCATGGAGAGTTGCTGCAAGCCTGCAGGCCCTGTGTGTAGCACTCTGACCCTGGATCAAGCAGGCCTCAGAATCCAGAAGGCTGAAGGTGTGCCACGGCTTCTCTGCTGAGGCCTGGACTTTGTGCTGGGCTGTGTCAAGCTTCTCCAGTTGTCTCACCAACAGCTTGAGCTCAGGGTGTCAGGGAGGTGCCCCACCCGACTGGGGTCCTCTTTTCCATTACATTCCACCTAAAAAACAACTTTTGGCTTTGAAAATTTTTCTCTATTGTATGTTTGCTTTTTATTTCATTAATTTCTGTGTGTTTTAATTTCTTTAGGTTTATTCTTTTTCTAGCATCTTGAAAAAGAAGAGACATTCTTGGGATAGGAGTTGAGATCATTGCTTTCAATGTTATTTTCCACTAAATACATTTAGAGCTACAAATTTTCCTTTAAGTACTGTTTCAGCGGTATTTTACCAGCTATAATATTTCATGTTTTTATTTTCTAATTCCATTATTTCTTCTTGGAGCAGTGGGTATTTAGAAGTCTATTGCTTAATTTCCAATTTGTGATTTTATAGTTTTTTGTTACTGATTTCTAGTTTAATTCTGTAATCAAATAATATTTTCTGTATTTCAGTGTTCTGAAATTTTATTTGAAATTTTCTTGTAACTTCCAGTTATAAGATCATTACGATGCGTTCCTTGTGCACTTGAAGAGAGCATGTGTTCTGCAGTCGTTGGCTGTAGCGCTCTGTGTGTCAGTTGTCAATTTGGTTAGTTGTGTTGCTCATACATCTTTCCTTGTTTCTCTGGCTAGTCTGTCACCACAACACACACGAGAAGATCTCAAACTATTTCTTCTTTTCATTCTGTCATTTGTTATAAATTGACCTTATTGAAATGAAATTTATGTGCAATAAGATTCATTATGTACATAATCCAGTAAGTTTTAAAGATGACTTTATTGGGCTATAATTCACATACCTTACAATTGACCCATTAAAGTGTACAATTAAATGATTTTTGTATGGTCATCATCACCATCAATTTTAGAATATTTTCATCACCCAAAGAGAAACACAGTACCCATTAGCAGTCATTTCCCATTTTTCTGGCAACCACTTATCTGCTTTTGTCTCCATGAATTTGCCTGCTCTAGCGTTTGATATAAATGGAGTCATGTAATATGTGGCCTTTTATAACTGGCTTCTTTCATTTACCATGTTTTCAGAGTTCATCCATGTTGTGGCATGAATCAGTATTTTGCTCATTCTTATGGCTGAAAAATATTCCAGGCTATGGATATGTGCCGCATTATGTTTATACATTCATCAGTTGGTGAATACTTGGTTGCTTCCACCTTTTAGCTGCTGCTGTGGACAGTGATGTAAAAGTTGTGTGTGAACATGTGCTTTCAGTTCCCTTGCGTACATACCTAGGAATGGAATTTCTAAGTCACATGGCAACTCTATGTTTAACTTTTTGAGGAACTGTTGTACTATTTTCCAAAGTAGCTGTAGCAATTTACATTTTCTCCAGTAAGGTATAAAAATTCTAGTTTCTCTTCATCCTTGCCAATACTTGTCTTTTTATTATAACCATGAAAGTGGCTGTGAAGTAGTATCTCATTATGTTTTTATTTGCATTTTCCTGATGGCTAATGATATTGAGCACTTTTCCTTGTGCTTATTTATCATTTGTTTGCCACCTTTGGAAAATGTTTATTTAATCCTTTGTCCATTTTTAATTGGGTTCTTGGTCTTGTTTATTGAGTTGTAAGAATTGGTAATAGATACTAGATATTTGATTTATATAGTCTTGATACTAGACCTGTATAATCTGCAAAAAATTTCTTCCATTCTCTGTGTTGTCCTTTCACTTTCTTGCGGTGTCTTGTGACACATATAAGTTTTTAATTTTGAAGAAGTCCCGTTTACTTATTTTTCTTCTGTTGCTTCTGCTTTGGTGTCACCGTCTAGGAAACCACTGTCTCATCCAAGGCCATAGACATTTAGACCCATGTTTTCCTCTAAAATATTTATAGTTTTAGCTCTTACACATAAGTTCTTAATTACATCTGGAGCTAATTGTTGTTTGTGGTGTTAGGTAGGGATCCAGCAACTTCTTTCTTTTCCATGTGGTTATCCAGTTGTTCCAGCACCCTTTGTTGAAAAGATTAACTTCTCCCCTATTACATTTTCTTGGCACCCTTGTCAAAATTCATTGACCAAGGACAAATATGTAATTTCACTTATTTGAGGTACCTAAAATAGTCAAGTTCATAGAGACATAAAATAGAACAGTGGTTACTAGCAGCTTGGGAGAACAAGGAATGGGGAGTAATTGTTAGATGGGCACAGAGTTTCAGTGTGGGATGCTGAGAAAAGTTCTGGAGATGGATAGTGCAGATAGTTGCACCATAATGTGAACCCACTTAATGCCACTGAACTCTACACTTAAAACTGGTTAAGGTGGTACATTTTATGTTATATGTACTTTACCACAATAAAAAGTCATGTGACCATAAATGTATGGGTTTATTTTTGGATTCTCCATTTTATTCCATTTATTTCTATGTCTGTCCTTATGTCAGTACCACACTGTCTTTATTTCTTAGCTTTATAGTTAAGTTTTTAAATTGGAAAGTGTCAGTTCTCCAACTTTGTTTACCTTTTTCAAAATTGTTTTGACTATTCCGGGCCCCTTGAATTTTCACATAAATTTCAGAATCAGTTTTTCAGTTTCTGTAAAGAAGCCACCTGGAGTTTTTGATAGAAATTGCATTAAATCTGTATATCAATTTGGGGAGTGTTGTCATCTTAACAATATAATACCTCCAGTCCATGAACATGGGATGTTTTTCCATTTATTCAGGTCTTCTTTAATTTTTTAAATGATATTTTATAGTTTTCAGTATATAAGTCTTGAACTTCTTTTGTTAAATTTATTCCTAAGTATTTTATTCTTTTTGATACTATTATAAACTAAATTTTCTTAATTTCATTTCCAGATTTTTTACTGTATAGCAATATATATATATTTTTTAATGTATAGAAATGTAATTCATTTTTGTATGTTGATCATTTATCTCATAAACTTGCTTAACTTGTTTTCTAGCACTGATAGGTTTGTTTTTTCTGTGGATTGCTAAAATTTTCTCTCTTCGAGATCATGTTATCTACAAATAGAGATAGTTTAACTTCTTCCTTTCCAATCTGGATGCCTTTTATTTCTTTTTCTTGCCTGATTACCCTGGCTGGAACACATAGCACAATGTTGAATAGAAGTGGAGAAGAAAGGACATCCTCGCCTTGTTCCTCATCTTAGGGGAAAGCTTTTAGTTTTTGACCATTCAGGATGATGTTAGCTGTGGATTTTTTGTAGATACCTTTTAATCAGGTTGAAGAAATTTCCTTCTCTTCCTAGTTCATTGATTGTTTTTTTTATCATGAAAAGGTGTTGGATTTTATAAGATGCTTTTTCAACATCAGTGTGGTTTTATCCTGTATTGATTTTTTTTATATGTTGAAGTAACCTTATATTCCTGGGATAAATACCACTTGGTCATGGTGTATATCCTTTTTATATGTTGATAGATTCTGTTTGCTAGTATTTTGTTGAAGATATTTTTTGTGTCCATGTTCATAGGAGATTTTCATCTGTAGTTTCCTTGTGATATCTTTGTCTGATTTTGGTATCAGGGTAATACTGATTTCATAGAATATATTGAAAAATGTTCTGTCCTCTTCTGGTTTTGGTAAGTTTGTAAAGAATTGGTGTTAATTCTTTAAATAGTCAGTAGAACTCATTAGTGAAGGCATTTGATCCTGAGCTATTCTTTGTGAGGTTTTTGAGTACTAATTCAATCTCTTTACTTGTCATAAGTCTATTCAGATTTTTTACTTCTTCTTGTGTCAGTTTTAATAGTTAGTGTTTTTAGAAATTTGTCCTTTTTATCTTAGTTATCCAATTTGTTGCCATACATTTGTTGATCATATTCTCATATAACCCTCTTGATTTATGTTAAGTCAGTAGTAGTGTTCCTTCTTTAATTTCTGATTTTAGTAATTTGAGCCTCCTCTTTGTTTCTTGGTTCAGTCTTGCTAAACCTTTATCAATTTTTTGTTGATCTTTCAAAGAATCAACTTTTTACTTACTGATTTTCCTCTACTGTTTTTCTATTCTCTATTTCACTAATTTCTGCTTAATCTTTATTATTTCATTCCTTCTGCTTGCTTGGGTTTAGTTTGCTCTTCTTTTACTAGTTCCTTAGGGTGGATGCCTAGGTTATTGATTTGAGAGAATTTTCTTCCTTTTTTAATAATGGGAATTTGGCTGTACATTTCTCTCTCAGCGTTACTTTAGCTGCATCCTGTAAGTTTTGGTATGTTGTGTTTTTCTTTCCATTTGTCTCAGAGTATTTGTAGTTTCCCTTGTGATTTCTTTATTTATCTGTTGGTTATTTAGGAATGTATAATTTAATTTCTGCATATTCATGAATTTGCCTTTTGTTACTGATTTCTAATTTCATTCAAAGGTCCAATGGTTTAATTTCTTTTAAATTTATTGGGAGTTGTTTTATGGCCTAATGTATGGTCTATTCTAGAGAATGTTCCATATGCACTTGAGAAAATGGATGTCTAGAGATGTTTATTCCATTTAGTTGGCTTATATTGTTGTTTAGTCTGTTTCCATGTTAATCTCGTCTAGTTACTTGAAGTGGATTATTGAAGTCTCCAACTATTATTGTTGAATTATCCATTTCCCCTTCAATTCTGTCAATTTCTGATTTGTATATCTTGGAATTCTGTTGTTAGGTGCATATATGTATTTAATTATTATATCTTCTTCATGAATTGACCCTTTATCAGTAAAAAAATGTCCTTTTTTGTCTTAAGGCTTACTTTGATGTGAGTAAAGTTATTTCAGGTTGTTTTTGTTTGTTTGCATAATGCATCTTTCCTCACCCTTATAATTTCAACCTATTTGTGTCTTTGAATCTAGAGTGTATCTCTTTAGAGCACATAGTTGGATCAGATTTTTAAAAATTCATTCTGCCAATCACAGCCTTTTAAGTGAAGGAACTAATCCATTTACATCTGAAGTAATTACTTATAAGGAAGGACTGTCTTCTGCCATTTTGTTATAAGATTCTACATGTCATTTGTCATTTTTGTTTATCAGTTTCTCCATTACTACCTTCTTTTATATTTAATTGATTTTTCATACTACACAGTTTTAATCCCTTTCTCATTTCCTTTTCTCTGTTTTCATTATTTTCTAGTTGTTCCCCAGGGGATTTCAAATGACCTCTTAAACTTAGTTTGCATTAATGTCAACTTAATCTCAATAGTATACAAAAACTTCACTCCTACATAGCTCCATTTCCTTCCCGCCTTTATGGTGTTACTGCATACAGATTGCATCTTTATACACTATGTGCTAGTCAACAAAGATTTATGATCACTGCTTTGTGCAGATGTCTTTTAAGTCAGATAGGAGAAAAAGAGGAATTACAAATGAAAAAAATACATTTACACTGTCTCTATACTTGCCTTTGTAAGTACCTTTACCAGTGCCCTTTCTTTATTCTTCATGTGACTTGAGTTACTCTCTAGTGTCCTTTCACTGTAGTCTAACAGAGTCCCTTTAGTGTCTCTTGTAGGTTAGGTCTTCCAATGATGAATTCTGTTTTTGTTTATCTGGGACTTTTTAATTTCTCTTTCATTTTGAAGCATAGCTTTGCTGGATATAGAATTTCAGTTGACAAATTTTTCTTTCAGTACTTTGAATATGTCATCATCCCACTGCCTTCTGACCTCTGTAGTTTCTGGTGAGAAATGTACATGATGAATTTCTTTTCCCTTACTGCTTTCAAGATTTTCTCATTGTCTTTTGACAGTTTGATTATGATATGTCTAGGTGTGGAACTCTTTGGAATTGATACTAGGAGTTCATTGAGTTTATGGATGTGTAGATTAATGTGTTTAATTAAATTGGCAAAGTTTTCAGCCATTATTTTTGCAAATATCCTTCTGCTCCTTTATTTCTCTCCTTTTTTTCCTGGGACTCCCTTTGTGTGCATGCTGGTATACTTGATGGAAGAGACTATGCTGTCTTCCTAGTGAGCATGGAGAATGGTGTTTGCAACCAGCTAGCTTGCTTTTCAACTGACTGTAGTTAGAGGACATGGTCTGGGCATGCAATTCTGCTACAGGAAGTGAGCAATACCCCTTCCATGGGCCAGAAAGTCATGAAGTTAAAGTTTGAGGCCCTCTCTTGGCCAAGCCCTCTCTTGGTATATCTTGAATGAGGTATTTCTTGCTTGGAGATGATAGATCTTTGAACTAATGGGCCGATTTGTTTTCCCTCCATTAGGTTCAATGTCAACAACACCATTCTTCATCCAGAGATCGTGGAGTGGTGAGTATGGCCTGTGGCCCCCTTGGCTTTTGTTGTATACAGCTCAGGAAAGTGAGAGACCCTGCTGTTCCTGTCCACTCCGTCTCAGACCCTCAGACAAGCTGGTCCCTGGAACCTCTTCTCTCAGCCTCTTCTATTTTGTTTTTATTTGTCAGTTGGTTTGTTTTTCCAAAATGGCACTAATCACTCAAATGTCAATTATATTTATCTGTCCTTTATTTAGGAGTCTTTTGAAAACCCCTACCATAAATAAGCCAAACTTATATAACTTAAAGTAGATCGTGAAAAAAGTAAAAGTAAACACCCTACATAAAACACCCTTCATGTTGCCAGAAAGGTAAACATGTTTTCCTCATGTCATGCATATGTCTTGCCTAGTTGGCATCCTGTTATGCATGTTCTTATGCTGCCTGTTTTCTTCCTTTGTTGATACTGGCAGCTCCTACCTGCAGCGTGACTGGTTTCTGTTAGGCTGCAACAAGGCAGACCTTCTCAGGTTGGGTATCTCCTCTGTGGGCCTCAGAAGTAGCCTCCAACTCTGATGTGCCACCAGTTTTCTCCCTAAGCTGTCGAGCTGCTCTTGTAGCACCAAAACATTTGCAGTTTAGCTGCACTTACTCTGAATGTAGGAGAGAGGCGAGGCCAGGCTGTTGCTGCATCGGGGGAGGTGTCTGGGCCCCTCACATCTGATCCTAAAGCCCTGTGGTCACATTTCCCTGTTCAGTTGGGAGATCTCGCTCACCTAGTCTAGGAGCTTACAAACACTGTGACCTGAAAGGCAAGAATCAGGCAGCTAGTGACACTGGGGAAGCAGAGCGGGAGAGAAGGAGAGAATGATCCAGGCTAAGAACTGTCTGTTCAGAGGCTGGAGACATGACAGGACGTGGCCTCCTGTAGCCTGGGTAGAGCCACACACTGGGGAAGTGGTGCCCGAGGGCAGCCGGAGAGGTGGGCCGGGGCTGGCTTGGCCATGGTGTCAGCTTGGACTTTGTCTTGAGAAAACAAGGGCCTTAGGAAACCTTTAAAGGATTTAAGCAGGAGAATGGTGGAATCAGGTTTGCGTTATAAAACTCAGACTGAAGTCTACTTGTAGGGCAGGAGTAGGAACAGCCTCCTCGTTAGGAGGCTGCTGCAGGGCCCAGCTGCAGTGGAGGAGATGTGACAGAGGGGAGTAAGGAGACAGTCATTGTGAAGAGGAGCCCACTGTGACCCCTGAATGAAGGGCGGAGTTGAAGGTTGACTCTGGATTTTTGATCTGAACATCTGGGTAGTGTGTCACCAAGATGGAGATGGCTAGTGTTAGGGAGGAAAAAGTTTCCTCTACCCCTCAAGGTTCTTCTAGCTGGTCTAAGAATCAAACTGACATGAGACAGATTAACAGAAGAAAAAAAAACAGTTTAATTACGTATGCACAGGGAAGTCATAGACATGGGTTCCAAAGACAGGGAGAATGAGGTGCATATGTCATCGTGAACATACCCAGGAGAAGTGGGTACAGGTCTGAGACTTCAAAGGGAGAGGAAAGTTATTCACAGGAGTATGAGAAGAATGAATGTTTAATAAATGAAATACTTGATGGGCCACACAGAAACAATGAGGGGTCATGAAGAGGAATTCTAACAGACTTAGCCACACCCCTCCCTGTCTGCCACCCTGGTCTATGCTGCAGTATAGCTACTGCGGTGGTAGCTCTCCTGGAGCAGGTCCTCCATCCAGATTCTTTTTATGCAGTTGTGGGGTAGGGGTCAAAGTTTCTTTCTGAGTCTTTTGGGCCTTGATTATTCTCAACTCAAATAATCTGCATGTCACAGTGGCACATCTTGGGCAGCCTTCCCTTGGCCCCTACACTGGGAAGGGCAGGAGCTGCGGCAGGTCAGGGAGTGGTGTGGGAAGTGTTGAGTTTTAGGAAGGTGCCAGTGGGAGGAAGGCTGCGCTGGCAGGCAGCATCTGAGGGCTGTCAGCAGGCGTCAGCACTGACCCTTGGGAGAGCTGGATGGTGGCCCAGGCCAGCTCTGCTGGCAGCCCCGGCCCAGCGCCCAGCACGGTCACACAGTCTGTGAGGATGGGGGCCTGTGTCCTTCCAGTTCAGGGCTGCCTCTTTCTGTTTTTATCAAGTAACAAGAGCCTTGCCCATCTGCAGCTCCCAGTTGGCAGAAGAATTAATCATGGATACTCAGGAGCAGGGCTCACATTCACTTATACCCTGCACGTGACGTTCCCTCTGACTGGCTGCTTACAGTTCAGGTGCCTGAGACCATGGCTGGGTCGCACAGTCCAGCATCTCATAAGGGATAAGTCATTAGTTTGTCACTTTGAAAAAGCACGCTTTAATCCTCATGACATTTCCAAGTGCTGAGGTGGATTCTACACTCATAAGAATACTACCCAGCTTTATTAAAGCCAGCAGTAGGAAGGATTTCTTTGGCATTTGATGGCAGTAGAGCTAGTTTAGAAATGTCACATTGTCCTTACTGCCACAGGAGTGTGTTTTAATAGCAAGGGTTCCGGCCTCTGGTGACCGTAGTCTCGCGGGGAAATCCCTGGTAGTCTGGGTCACTGCCCTCTTCGAGTCCTGAAGGACAGATTCTGGATGAACAGTGGGCAGGGCCCTCATCTATGGAAGAGAGGAGGCTTTCCAGGATGTTAAATTATGGCTCATTGTTGTGCCTTTGGGCACTTGTGTCCTGAAATGCTTTTGTCACCCTCTCTCTCTAGGCCCCACCCACTCAGGCATACCCAAATTCTAACCCAGCCCACCTGCCTCGAGATATCACTTAACTCTTCTGAACTTCAGCTCATCTGTAAATGGTTAATTAGTAAGACCTAACTCAGAATGTAGACATGGAGATTCACCAAGCGTCTTAGACCGTTCTAGCTGCCAATTACCATGGACTGGGAAGCTAATAAACAACAGGAATTTATTTCTCACAATTCTGGAGCCTGAAAAGTTTGATATCAAGTTGTTGGCAGATTGAGAATCAGCTGAGAACCACCTCCTGGTTCATAGATGGCCCTTGTCTTGCTGTGTCCTCACCTGGCGGAGGGGCAGAGATGGTTTAGGGGCGCTTATAAGGGCAGTAATCCCCCTCATGAGAGCTTTGTCCTTACGACCTAATTACGACCTACCTCCAAACATGTGACACTGAAGATTAGGTTTTAACATATAAATTTTGCAGGGAGATGACTATGCAGTCTATAGCACAAAGCCTCAGTTCTCCTGCCAAGTAGACGTGGTCTCCCTTGATGGATGGCTCCAGGACTGATTGAGAGCATAAGTCAAATGCTAACTCCTCTTAAAAATAATGGCTGTCACCTCTGCAACTTCCTGTGTGCATGGTACTGAGCTAAGCACATGACACATGTCCTCTTATTTGGAGTTTTTTATTTATGTTATATAAAGTATGTGCTCTCGTTATCCCCATTCTACAGATAAGGAAACTGAAGCACAGGGAAGGGATTTTCCAAGAAAATGTCAGAAGCTGAGCCCAGGCTGATGGTTCCAGGATCTTGTGCTGCCCCTTGTGTTTCTGAGGCGCACCCTGGCGGGTGGGTGAAGGAAGGGAGGGAGCTGCCCGAGTGCCAACCTTTCAGTTCGCTCTCGGCCACTGATGTGCAGCAGTGCTCAGAGCCCCTGGGATGGATCTTGCGTGAGGCCAGAGTGCACTGAGGTGAGGGGACTATGCAGCTAGGCTCCCTTCAGCCCCGGCCCCGGCCTTTCGTGCTCCCCAGGTCACAGTTAGCAGCTGGGCTGGGCTTTGGGATCCCTCGCAGAGCCTTCTGGTTCAGAGGCCACAGCAGCCTCTCCTAGCATGGAAAAGCTTTCTTTCTCATTTTTGTTTGGGTGCCATTCATTTCCTCTCTGTGACTGCTTTATTGCTTTCCATTCTCTCAAGCAGTGCCTTTTTGATTTCCTGTAAATTCCTCTATAATCATACTCTTCCCCACAAACATGAGATCATAACTGATAATTTCTTTTCTTGTGCTGGGTATTGCAGTTTGAATGGGGAGGTCAAAAGTTGAAACCTAAGAGCAGGCGTCTCACTTCCATAATGTAGGCTGTGGTTCTACTTGCCTGTTCTGCTCATGATTAAATTGATCTGAAGGTAGAGTAGGAAATAAAAGGAGATACTTTCATACTGTCTAATAGCTCAGTGCCTTGGATTTCAGTTAAGTACTTCTGGAAGCATCACAGAAGACCAAGCATGTCAGTCAGCGATTGCCATGTGCCTCCTTGGGTTTTAAGTGAGACTGTGTTAAATTGAGTCATATGCCGATTTTAGAACTGTTAATTACATGGAGCGAAGGTGTCCTGAATGTATTAATTAGGCAGTGCAGTAACATTCCTTCTCTCCTGCCTTTCTGTGTGCTGGAGATGGTGAGGCATGGATGGTTTAGGGCAGAAATGCACCAGGACCCCACATCCTGGGTAAAGTGTCCCAAATTGGAAAAGGTATATAGATGACCTAGATTCTTGGTCTGTATGTGAAAAGTATTTCATTAGTGTTGCCACCTTTGTGTGCTGATGAATAGGCATTTAACCCTAAGTTAACGAGATGGTCAAGTGGAAGGCGGGGAACTTAGGGCACAGTGAGAATTCCGTGCACCGGAAGCAGGGTGAGGGAGCATCGGGCAGAGAGGAAGGCAGCCCAGGCCTTGGTCCAGTTGCAGAGCAGAGCCTTCTGAGCCCCCTCACCACATGGTCCACATCTGCTGGCCCCAGTCAGGGCTCAAACACACTTGGCTCAGAGCTGAGCTAAACCACCATTTTCTCCATGGCCCCATTTCTTTGAGAGGATTTATTGATTAAGCCTCCTGAGGATATGTAATTCCAACCAGCTCTTTCCTCTCTGTCCCTCCTGTTGTTCTGGGATCTTACCCTTTGTAGCACTGGTTCATGGGGTGTGGAAGAAATAGTCGGGGGTATCCTGTGGTATTGAATTCCCACCCGCAGGCTCCTGCAGAACCATCCCCTGCTCATTCATCTCCAGGAAAGATGGAAT